TGTTAATCAACTAAGTGGATTCTTTTCAACTCCAAATTTTCCAAGTAACTACCCTCAATACAGCAAATGTACCTGGAATATCACAGTTCCTAGCGAGTACATCATTAAACTTAGCTTCCTTTACTTTCGATTGGAGCCATATCAGTCCATTCCCTGCTATAATGCTCCAGAGGCCCGTGTTACAGTCACAAATGTTGCTTCGGATGATGGGTATCAGCCGTTCATGCTTTGCGGTCAGTCTCTTTTCCATCCAGTGTACTCGGTAGGGAATTCCGTTCAAGTCATATTCACGTCTCTGCGCAGTCAATACCCAGGGTTTAATGCAACTTACACGGCTATCACTTATAGTAGAGGTACGTGGTATACATTATTTATCAGACATCAATGACTGAGATAAGATTTAAAAACCATCACCACTAAAAGCTCGACCAATAAAAGGTAATCCAAGAGAGTCTTCTCAAGAAAAATCATAGATTCCAAATCCCAGAACTTACGAACATATTTCTCACAGTTAAGGTTGCTTTGTTTGTGAATTCTTCTAACGTAGTTGTTGTTCACATGGGCTTTAATAACAAAGAAAGAAAACGTGAACTACAGAACAATTTTTTTATGCCAGAGTAAGCGCAAGCGCCTAATACCCATACAATGCTTGGTTGGGGCACGGAACGGACTCTTAAAAACTTCGCAAGAAGGCAGTCAATTGTCTGTGACTTATTCACTACGTAAACTCGATAATGTAAAAAAAGATATTCCGCACACAAACCAAAAAAAGGTTCTGGCGCAACTCAAAATTATTAAGTCCTTCCGTTCCGTATTATTTAGTTTTGATCTAATTCCTTGTCAAGTTAACTAGATTCTTTTTTTAAAGTGGTATAATTCTAATTTTCATCGATACTTAGGCTTAGTCCATTTATATTGCTTGCAGTCTGTCCCAATATGGCAACCCTGAATGAGACATCAGGAGTTCTTACCAGTCCTTTCTATCCAAGGCGTTACCCTTCGAACGTGAAATGCAGCTGGAAAATTATAGCAAGCAATGGAGAACGCATTTTGTTGTTCATTGAAGACATTCAGATTACGAACTGTGGTTCATCTTGCACGTGTGACTACCTGGAAATACAAAATGGCTCATCCTCTGATGGCATCTCAGGCAGGCGAAGATGTAGATACTATAAAGACCGTGGGATAGTGTACCATTCGGTAAAAGATGTCCTGAGGGTGACGTTTGTTTCTGGCAGTGGTACATACCGGCGGTACCGTGGATTTAAGGCAACTTACATCAAGGTGAAATATAATGCAACAAACACCGGTAAGTTAGTCAAAATCGGCTTTAAACGCAAAGTTAAATCAATTTTTAAAGTCATAAATTTATATGTAAATAGTTTCTTAATAGGCTTATTGATAATCAATTTGTGATTTCATAAATTCTATGGGCAAATAGTTTCTTAATAATTGTTTATTGACAACTCTTGAGTATTTTACTTTTTTATTTTTATTTATTTATTTATTTATTTTTATTATTTTGTTTGTTTGTTTGTTTGTTTTTTGATTACCTGCACTATTAATATTTTTATCTGAAAAGCCCCCATGAGGAGTTGACAATAAAGTTTGTATTGTATTGTATCAATTTTCAGCAAGTTATATAAAACATTATTGCCTTATAACGGGCTTATAGCAACTGTAACATTCAAATACTTTACGGAGTAAAACAACACATAACTAAAATGCCGATGAATTGCCAAAAATTTTCATTCACATGATGTTAAAAGTGTTTTGTTGCGAATCTCCTTTTTTATGTTTATCTATTGCAACGCTTTCCTGATTGAGCTTTTTTTTTTTTTGGTTCACAGACAAAATTACTCTTTGATTTTGAATTATAAAGCTAAATCATGTTTATTTCCTCTTGTTGCAGCTTGTACCTCTGGCGAATATCTTAACGGATTTAGTGGACTCTTTTCAACTCCAAATTTTCCTAGTAACTACCCTCAATACAGCAAATGTACTTGGAATATCACAGTTCCCAGCGGGTACATCATTAAACTTAGCTTCCTCTACTTTCGATTGAAGCCATATCAGTATATTCCCTGCTATAATGCTCCAGAGGCCCGTGTTACAGTCACAAATGTTGCTTCAGATGATGGGTATCAGCCGTTCATGTTGTGCGGTCAGTCTCTTTTCCTTCCAGTGTACTCGGTAGGGAATTCCGCTCAAGTAATATTCACGTCTATGAGCAGTCAATACCCAGGGTTTAATGCAAGTTACACGGCTATCACTTATAGTTCAGGTACTTGGTATACATTATTTACAAGACATCAATGACTGAGTTAAGATTTAAATACCATCGCCATCGACAAATCGCCCAATAAAAGGTAATGCAAGAAAGTCTTGGATTCTGGATTCTAGGAGTGGATTCCGGATGTCATTGGCATTTAGATTACTGATTCCAATCATAAGTAGGATTCCGGTTTCCTAAATTAAAATCACAGATTCCAAATCCCAGTACTTACGAACATATTTCTCACAGTTAATGTTGCTTTGTTTGTGAATTTTCGCAATGTAGCTGTTGTTCACATGGGCTTTCTTAACAAAGAAAGAAAACGTGAACGACAGAACATTCTTTTTTTTTTTTTAATCCTAGAGTAAGCGCGGTCGCCTAATACCCACTAAAATGTTCGTTTGAGTCACGTAACGGACTCTTAAAAACACCGTGCGAAGGCAGTCAATTGTCTGTGACTTGTTCACAATAAAATCTCGATAATTTTAAAAAATTTATTTCCGACACAAATTTAAAAAAAGTTTCCGGCGCATACCAAAATTATTAAGTCCTGCCGTCCTGCATTTGGTTTTGATCTAATTCCTTCTCAAGTTAACTAGATTCTTTTTTTTAAAGCGGGATAATTAACAATTACTCTTTGAAATCGGGGTGAATAGTAGCAAAATATTTACCGGGCCACGAAGCGGCGAGGTAAGTATTCCTAAAGCCACTATTCACCGAGATTGAAAAGAATAATTGTTTTAGTATATATACACACGAAGTGATCTCACCAAAATCGGAGAGGAAACCATTAAAAAGTACGATTTGATTGACAGATCAGGTCAGCTAGACACGCGACAGTTTAAAAATAGATCTTTGTACAATTTTCAAACATGGCAATTCACAAGCTTATCACTTCGCAAACAACAGCGTAATGACTTAAATGCAACCGCTAAAAGTTTGAACTGTTTTCTTACCTGAGAAGAAAAAAAGAGCTTTGTTGTTTTCTGTTGACTCGCCAAGTTTATAGGCAAAAGGGTTTGTTGTGTCGTTCTTCGCATGAAGTGCTGACAAAAATGTCGATTCCGTTCCTTGAGGTAAGACGTCGTCTTCGTGTAGCATTCTTTCTTGTGTTGACTTAAAACGTAGAATTTCTGCAAACATTTGCTTTCAAATTTGTTTGTCATAAATAAACTTCGTCTTTGGGCCAAATTTTTCTTGTTAGGAAACGCTGAGTTCACGAAACGGCCTCTTCTAGGCGAACGTACGGGAGTTGTAAACAATCCATCGACCACAAAACTCAACAACAGTAAATGGAAAAATGCCGTTTTGAATCCTTCGAAGTCTTTTCTTGCCTGAAAAAAAGTCAACCCTAGGATTTTGTCGACTTTTAAAAGATCTTTCTCTAAGAAAATGGGAAAAAAAACCGAGCTCACACATTATCCACTAGCTGAGAGGTGAATATTGTTGAATAGTCCGAGATAGCGAACAAACAGATCGCTTAAATCACCAAGATCACTGAGTGTGTATATACTAATTCTAATTGTCCTCGATACTTAGGCTTAGTCCATTTATATTGCTTGCAGTCTGTCCCAATATGGTAACCCTGAATGAGACATCAGGAGTTCTTACTAGTCCTTACTATCCAAGGCGTTACCCTTCGACCGTGAAATGCAGCTGGAAAATTATAGCAAGTAAAGGAGAACGCATTTTGTTGTTCATCGAAAACATTCAGATTACGTACTGTGGTTCATCTTGCACGTGTGACTACCTGGAAATACAAAATGGCTCATCCTCTGATGGCATTTCAGGCAGGCGAAGATGTAGATACTATGCAGACCGTGGGATAGTATACCATTCGGTAAAAGATGTCTTGACGGTGACGTTTGTTTCTGATAGTAGTACTTATCGGCGGTACCGTGGATTTAAGGCAACTTACATCAAAGTGAAATATAATGCAACAAACACAGGTAGGTTATTAAAAATTGGCTTCAGCAAAATTAAAGTTAAAGTTAACGCAAAGTTAAAGGTTTATGTGCAGGCGATCAGGTGATCAATTTTTAGCAAGTTATAGAAAACATTATTGCCTTATAACGGGCTTATAGCAATTGTAACACTCAAATACTGTACGGAGTAAAACAACACAAACAAATTAAAATGCATATGGAATGCCAACAATTTTCATTCGCACGAAGTTAAAAGTAAAGTGTTTTGTTGCGGGTCTCCTATTTTTTATGTTTATCTATTGCAACGCTTTCCATTGATATTTTCTTTTTTTGGTTCACAGAGAAAATTACTCTTTGATTTGAATTATAAAGCTAAGTCATGCTTATTTCCTCTTGTTGCAGCTTGTTCGTCTAGCGAATATCTTAATGGATTTAGTGGATTCTTTTCAACTCCAAATTTTCCGAGAAACTACCCTCAATACAGCAAATGTACCTGGAATATCACAGTTCCCAGCGGGTACATCATTAAACTTAGCTTCCTCTACTTTCGATTGGAGCCATATCGGTATATTCCCTGCTATAATGCCCGTGTTACAGTCACAAATGTTGCTTCAGATGATGGGTATCAGCCGTTCATGTTGTGCGGTCAGTCTCTTTTCCATCCAGTGTACTCGGTGGGGAGTTCCGTTCAAGTCATATTCACGTCTCTGCGCAGTCAATACCCAGGGTTTAATGCAACTTACACGGCTATCACCTATAGTTCAGGTACTTCGTATAAGTTATTTACAAGACATCAATGATTGAGTTAAGATTTCAAAACCATCACCACCAACAACTCGCCCAATAAAAGGTGATCCAAGAAAGTCTTCTCAAGTCAAATCACAGATTCCAAATCCCAGTACTTACGAACATATTTCTCACAGTTGATGTTACGTTGTTTGTGAATTTTTTTAATGTAGCTGTTGTTCACATGGGCTTTTTTTACAAAGAAAGAAAACGTGAACGACAAAACAATTTTTTTTTTTTTTTATGCCAGAGTAAGCGCAGGCGCCTAATACCAACTACAATTAATGTTCGTTTGAGTCACGGAACGGATTCTCAAAAACATGGTAAGAAGGCAGTCAATTGTCTGTGACTTGTTCGCAATATAATCTCGACACAAATTTTAAAAAAGCTTCCAGCGCATCCCAAAATTATTAAGTCCTGCCGTCCTGCTTTTGGTTTTGATCTAATTCCTTCTTAAGTTAATTAGATTCTTTTTTTAAAGTGGTATAATTCTAATTGTCCTCGATACTTACGCTCAGTCCATTTATATTGCTTGAAGTCTGTCCAAATATGGCAACCCTGAATGAGACGTCAGGAGTTCTTACCAGTCCTTACTATCCAAGGCGTTACCCTTCTAACGAGAAATGCAGCTGGAAAATTATAGCAAGTAAAGGAGAACGCATTTTGTTGTTCATTGAAGACATTCATATTGCGGAATGTGGTTCATCTTGCACGTGTGACTACCTGGAAATACAAAATGGCTCATCCTCTGATGGCATCTCAGGCAGGCGAAGATGTAGATACTATACAGACCGTGGGATAGTATACCATTCGGTAAAAGATGTCCTGACGGTGACGTTTGTTTCTGATAGTGGTACTTACCGGCGGTACCGTGGATTTAAGGCAACTTACATCAAAGTGAAATATAATGCAACAAACACCGGTAAGTTAAAGGTTTATGTGCAGGCGATCAGGTGATCAATTTTCAGCAAGTTATATAAAACATTTTTTAACAATGAATGAGGCTGAGTATCTTATGAAGAATTATCGAGATCGAGGAGGGTGTTATCCGTTGAGACCGTACGCCGAGGCGGATAACATCCTCCGAGATCTCCATAATTGTTCATATGATACGAAAGCCGAATTCAATAATTGTTTTGTTTTATTATTCTTTCAAAAGCCATTATTTCGCCTAGTTCCAGCTGCAGTTCTTAATCTTCAAACGAGTGAAGTGTCCGCCATTTTAGTTTTCAGAACGAAAACAACTCAACCTCGTCCCAGGTCTTCTCGGTTAACGGTGCATTAACCTGTAGAAGGCTGCATTTTTGACGTCATTTCCTCGTTAAAGACAAAATTCTTCCAAATTGGGTCATCAGTAAGTGCTTATGGTGAATTATGCGTGTGCTTTTAGCCAATCAGAATTGGGGAAATATTTTTAATGAATAATAATAATAATGCTTTTTAACTGGCTAATAGCAACTGTAACATTCAAATACTTTACCAAGTAAAACAACACAAACTAAAATGTCGATATTGGAAAACCTCCGTTTTCGTCTGTCCTCACGTAAACGAGAAGCCGGCGTTTTTAAAAATCTCCTCTGTGGAGAGCGTTTTCTAAAAGATGCGTTTTCAGTGACCGTTTTCACCGGATACGTGTGGACGGTAGGCCAGACCGGAGAAAAAACTAAAACGGATACGTGTGGACTAGCCTGTTCCAGGCGTTCAGATAGTGGGGAGCGGTGCGAAGTAAAAAGGGGCGCGAAAAAATAAAAGCGAGGGAGGGGGAGAGGTGAGAGAGGGAACGCCTGTTAGATTTGTTTTAAATAGACTCTTCCGCCCACACAGACCGCATCAGCTGTGGGTGGTCTTCACTTGTCAATCAAGACTGATGTTACAGCCCCATACATTTATTATTTTTCTTACGAATAAATCAAAATTTCTCAGATCAAAAATTAATATTATGTGTACATAATCTTACTAAAAACCTAATATAAGACTTTCAGACAATAGAGAGCGGGAGAAGTAATTTTTGTACGGCTTTAATTTAAAACATGATTTCAGCGTGTATGTGACAAAGAAATTATGAATCAAGTGACAAACAAATATCGCTCATTTCGATAGAAAGCCGTTTCAATACAGATCGTTAACTCGAGCAATGAAAATGCCCAACAAACGAAGGGAAAATTTACCATTCGGTGATTGAGTGGACCTTGTCAATAGCGATAGCTGCAACTTGCTTTTCAAGCTTTCCTTTTGAAGTCCGTTTGTCCACTCCTTAGACAACCACGATTTGTGACTGCAGTACGCCTTTGAGTGAATTTTTAAGGGTCATACAATTTCACAGCTTCCACTTTTAACGGCTTCATCCACATCTTCTCCCATCATTGCCGCCGCTACTCCGATTTTGTTCAAATGTTCCACTTGGTCTTTCATGATGGCAATCAACGGAGTTACCACAACAATCGTAAATGGCATTCTATCCTGCCTTCATTCCAACGAACGCTTTATTCGAGGAAAAAGCTGGAAAATAAGTCTTTTTCCAAAGCCAGTCAGTGAAATTGCGAAGACGTCTATCCTGCCGACTACGTGTTTTTAACAGTTCCTTTGCTCTTCGCGTTTAGCCTCCACGTTTGGAAAGTCACTCAGCGCTGTGTTTATTGCGAGTTCGAATTCTGAACGGGACGTAGAGTCTGTCATCACCGCCATATCGCTGTCGCTCGCTGTGATCGAAGACGCTCCACTGTTGACGAAAACTGTCAAAATCAACCAATCAGAGGGTATACCAGGATCTGGTATACCGGAACGCACTTTTGTTAAAAATTCTTACAAGCGTTCCCGCACCTCTCTCCCCAGTTCCCCTCTACTTTTCATAGCTTTCTTTACTTCGCACCGCTCCCCACTATCTGAACGCTTGGAACAGGCTACGTGTGGACAGGGCCTTAGTGGTACCGTACACTAGAAATATAACGTTAATTATACGTTTTGCGAGAGAAACTAATTTCTTTGTTTTTGTTTTGTTCGTTTATTTGTCCTTTTCATTAGAGTTACCACACACAACCACCACAAAAGTACCACCTGAAAGTGAGTATCATATGAAGATCAAAGAATAAAGTTGTAACGAAGCAAATTTCTGATTTTACTCCAATCTGGAGCGCGCTTAAAAAATTATTCATGATATTTTTGGTTTCACAACAGCAACAAGCACCCAAGACTCAGAAATGACACCCACAAGTAAGTTTCTCAGGAGGTTGTAAGAACTATGTATTGGAAAAGATGGGCACCTTTCCAACTTTAGTTAAATGCTATGGAAAAACAGTCGAATCTCCCGTAAGCGACCATGGTGGTCTCTTCGTAAAAGAGGTCCGGATACATCTATTTTTTTGAAGAGAATGTACTTTTTCACTTTGTGGAAGAGAAGTTACGATATGTTTACTGTAGTTCCATGTTGTCACTCAAATGTCTTCGTATGCACTGACAGGCGAACAAAGCGAGAGGACACCGTGCGCTTACGGGAGGTTAAAAACGATGGAAAATTATAAAACCGTCGACCGTAAAACACTGTCGCGGTCGCTAAAGAGAGGCGGTCGTTTACAACATGTTTTAATTACAGGGCTTTGAGTGGTTTTGGTTCGCACACGGATGTTTGACTTCCTTTTTTTTTCCTGTCAGTCTTTGATATCAGTCAGATACCAGTTGACGTCGAAACAAGTTTCTCAGATTGTTATTATATTTTCGGGGCTTCTAATTGCTCGTTTTTGTCCACTATCAGTATAACTTAATTAATATGTGCCGGGCACCTGAAATAAGGTGATTTCTACCTCGAATAAATCATAACGATAGAGATCACTGGTTAAGTTCATGTTGCTCCCGATAATCCATCTCGAACAAACATGATTTCTCAGTTCAAGAGGATTGAACTTATACTGTTACAATCTTGGTAAAAGTATTGATTTCAGTCTCTAAAACAAGCACAGGGCTAGAATTTCAAACTTCAGAAGCTTGGAATTAAGCCTTATTAGATAGCTGGTTTTTGAGACTTTGAAATAAGAAGGATGAAAAAGTACTATTAAGTAAGTAAGTTTGAGGAAATTTGTATATTGAACTTATACTTGTGACTGAGTCATGAGATGTAGCTAAGGCTTTGAATACAAGTTTCCGCTTGTCAGATTTCGGAGTAGTGATTTTTAACTGCAGTGAAAGTTTGATTTCACCTCCATTTTTGTTATCCAGTGTGAAAGCTCAATGTAGATTTAAGCTTGAATGAGTGAAATCTTGTTTATCAAGTGGTAAAGACTTGAAATTCAAGATCATATGGTGGATCATCTTGTATTTAACATGTTGTTGTGCACAAACAGCCTAGATTCAAGTGTCCACAAAAACGGCTTAGATTGGAGTTTTCAAATAAGGGAAACTCAAATCTGACATGGTTGATTAGCATTCAATATAATTTAATCGTCATCCTTGTTAAATGCTTTAAAAATTTTTGATTTTTTACCTAATCTCATACTTATACTGGCATAGTGTGAATGAAAATTCTCTCTTTTATGATCTTTTCTTCCCCAAGGGTTGTTTCGGCGAGCTATTAAAATGAATTCAAATCTGGTTTCTCCATATTAAAACTTAAGTAGATTTATTGGTTGAAGTATTTTCTCGATGAGCGAAAAAAAGTGCAAGAATAGACTAAAAAAAGGGTTGTTATAGACAAACTAATGGCTCGTCTGCTCTACATTAAGGGAAGAAATGTCTGACAAGGAGACGCTTCAATTCACAGATCAGATCACCAGGCTAAAAATTGGCACTTTTAGCTTAAAGTGAAATTTTTGTATTTGAACTGTTTGGATAGGTTATTTCATTGCTATATAATTAGTAGATAATTGAAATGTATTTGGTTTGACGTCATTTTTAAGATATTTCTTTTCCTAACACTAATCTGTTCCTTTTCCATTGTTTGTAGGGGCGATGTACAGTGAACTTGAGAGTCGGAGCATTGTTGTTATAGATATTGATAAATAGATATTTGACAGGCGCTGCAGAG